GGGAGCCCCGCCCCCGGGCGCGCAAGTGTTCCCGCCTCCTGGTGTCCAGCAGGCGAACAGCCATGCCCCCTGGCGCCCGGCAGCCTCTAAAGGTTGGGGACCACTGTTATAGACTAACCATATGCTCCAATAAATCTGTTAGTCTGTAAGGTGCCACAGGACTCCTTATCAGCTAAAATGTGTAACATGGGGAGCACACCTTCTGCCTAAGTTGAACATAAAATCACAGTATGGGACTGCTGTTCAGAGGCTGGTATCATGGAGAACCTTTTTGCAGTGCCATATTAATAAAACTGACTGACATTCATGGCAGGTAGAGGGAGGGGGACTTGAACCCAGCAGTTCTCAATGCCCTACCCCCTATCTCCGGTGGGTCCCTTATCCTAACTAAAATCATGCCGCACCACATATGTTGTCAGACCAGAAAGTGCCGGGCTAGAGAGGTTCTACTTGTAATGCTCAATTTCTACTGATTTCAATGCCTCTTGAACACCTACGTATCTGTTCTAAAGGTTCAGCTTCATTCCCCCGGGCAGCAGCTTCTAGCACTGCAGCATTCGCTTGGGCCTCATCTCCACGCAAAACTTTAAAGCCAATCGAGTTAAAGCCCTGTGTGGACACTTCAGTTTAAGCCTGTGTAATGAATGGTGGTAAATTTGCAAGTGCAAGCCGAGTGGGTGGGTCCAGTCTGAACCAGTTTACATGTGATCCCCCCTCAGGGCTTTGTGTTGGTTTAAAATCCCATCTTTAGACGGATCGGTGCAACTTCTGCCTAAGGAAACATATCCCGGGGATCGCTGAACCCAGCCATTATGGACTGGGGCATAGAAATCCAATTAAAAGAGGATTAGAGGCAAGCCTTCGCAATGCAAAAGGAGCAAGTTCCTGAAATCTGCCGAGAGTACAGGTTGAACCTCTGTAGTCCGGCACCCTCGGGACCTGACTGGTGCCGAATCAGAGAATTTGCCAGACCATGGGCGTTCAATATTGTCTACCAGCATTACCAACACTTCTGCTGTTCTCTGGGCTGTTAGACAACATTTAAGAGTAAAATAGAGCTAAATCACAGCACAGAAGGCAGGACTGAGGGCTATAAACAAACTTTATGGGACTGTGGGTAATTTGGCCACACCCATGCTAAGTGGACATCTGGTTAACTAATTATGCCGGACCACGGAGGTTGCTGGACCAGAGAGTGCCAGACTAGAGAGGATCTACTCGTAATGCGCAGCTTTCTCTAATTTCAATGCCTCTTAAGTACGTAAGTATCTTTGAGGATCCGGGGCTAATATTTTAAAGCTGATGGTAAGGCTAAAAGGAGGCCTGTTTTGACGCCCAGATGGGGTGGGGAAGGGACGGCTCGGGATGAGTTGGGGATGGTTCTGTAGATGCCTTAGGCACTGGCTGGCAAATAGGAAAGCAAGACTGTTTGCCAGGCCAGATAAGCATTTACTGATGTTCTGCCAATCTCTTCCTAGGTGCTGGGACTTGAGTGCCGGCAATTTGAAATGGATTGTTCAGGTGCCTATCCTGGCATCTATTGTGGTGAGTTATGTTTGAATTTGCATAAATTATCCCTTCTCTTTCCCCTATATCCCCCCTTCCCCCTGCTTTCTGAGAGTATGTCTACACTAGTTCATTAATTCGAGCTTGGTAGGCAAATCAGGCAACCAGAGTTGCAAAGGAAGCCCGGGATTTAAATATCCCGGGCTTTATTTGCATGTTCCTGTCCAGCCACCGTTTTTAAATCCCCCTTAGTTCGAACGAACTGCCCGCAGCTACACGCAGCAGTTTAAAGTTAATCCGAACTAAGTCCTTAGTTCGGATTAACTGTTACTCCTCGTGGAATGAGGTGTAACAGTTAATCCAAACTAAGGATTTAGTTCGGATTAACTTTAAACTGCCGCA